AGAAGTATTAGGGCTAGTGCTAACAAGCAACCAACTTTAGGGGAGGCAATAGCTCAGTCCATAGAGACTTGGCTTGAGAACTAGAGGGTGGCTGGTTCAAGTCCAGCATCGACTGAAGTATGAAAGGTGGACTGGTAGTTGGAGATGCCAGTTCACCTCCTGGGCACTGCCAAGGTGCTCTTGAGCATGGCACCAAGCTCCCCGGGTGCCTTCATGGCTGCCAACTGCTCTGTGTCTTCTGATTACATCTTTAAATCATTTATGGCCACACTACTGTTCTAGTATTAGTATTCTACCATCGATCCAAATTACTCACAGAGCCCCAGGCTGCAGCCACTTTCCAGAGCTGAGAGAAAGATTGAGGGGGGGGCGTTTTTTAAAAGCCTGCTGATGTCATCAGCATCTGTGTAAGAAACTACCCATTCACTTGCATTGTAGTGGAGGAGACCAGAGATGGAATGTGGAGTCGGAAATATATTTGTCAAACAGTATTTGTTCCACCATTTCAATCATTTCTTTTTAGATGTGAATCTAAATTGTGAAGAATGTGAAGTCTGAAAATACATTTGTTCAATTTTGAATAATTCAAGGTATCTTTATTGGGGGGGACAATTCATGTTTTTCAGAAATTCCCCCCCCCCCCCGGTATCTGCACCCATGCCTCAACCAGGAAGTAAGGTCAGAGGTCAATAAAGTGTGTGATGGATGAACAACGCCCTCCAATGGTCAAACCTAGGAACTTTTTTAAGGTCTATTGGAGGTGTGGGAACACGCAAATTTAAATTTAGATAAATAATTAAAAACATTTAAAATAAGTAATAACACATGTTGAAAACACAAGACTGAAAATTAATCAAAACAAACATAAGACAAAGAAAGAAAGAAATAGATTGATAAACTTTTGTCAAATCAGTCAACGAGGGTTTTAAAATAATATCCAAAATGCAACTTGACAACCTAACAGTTTTTAATATGTGATTATATTTTCACCAGTATTGAAGAGAGAACGAAAAAATAGAAATAAAATAAATACATTAATTCTAAAAAACAAGTCTATTAGTTTGAATAACCATCTTATTTTTTAAGTACATTTAACATGCGTTATTGCAGCTGTTGATACAAGGTTCAAGGTTTAGTTTGTTATAGATGTGGAATTTTCTTTGTTGTAAAATAATTTGCAAGACATAGACATAGAAACAGTGAAAAAATGTTAGTTTGTCCGGTTTTTATATCAGGAGCACATGATTTTCAACATCCACTCATGACTTAAATACTTAAATAAAGTTGACGGAAATTAATCAAAACAAAAATAAGACAAATATCCTATTATTCTCCCTTAAATCAATTTGTAAATATGTCTACAGATTTTCTTTTTTTGTAATCAATAAAATTTTGGGTAACACTTTATATTAGGGAACACACAAAGTGAACATATCCAAGTACTTGATTGTAATTCATGTACAACAACTCCCTTACTTACCATCAATAAGCAGTAATATTCTGTCCTGGATAATACGTGTGCTGTATTTGTAGACAGATAGCTAACTAAAAAGACCCTGTAGGCGAGATTCCAGGTTGAGAACGATTTACTGAAATCTTCTGAAACATTTCTTTGTAAAACTGCAACACAATAAAAATAAACATAATGTTACAATTGAAATTAAATATATGTAACAACACTGGTCACACTTTCTTCTTTCTTTTCAGGTTATAAACCAGGTAAGTACAACACAATATTACATGAGGCATACACACATCTTTTTACAGTATGCTCTTACAGGCAAGTAACAGCGTAAACACAGTAAATGGTGATAATAGTTCACACATAAACATAACATGTAACATGAATGAGGCCTGAATTGAATCCACCTATGCTACTAGATACAGACCTGTTAGCATTAGCATTGTAAGCACAATTTAACCAACTAAAACAAAGGGTTTTTAACTCTAATGCACTTTCAACAACTTAAATGAGCTAACAGCAGCCATGCTTACTGATGGATCTACTCCAAGGCCTAGACAACAACCACTCCGTGGTGGAGCACAGCCTGCTTGTGTTATGTGTGTTAGTGCACTTCTCAAGTCAGACTTTTCCAGGCGCAAAAACCCTGACATGCCACTAGGGGGCCACTAAACATTATTAAGACACTGACAGGAGTCAGAACAAGTAATTAGGAGGTTATTAAGGGAAAACTGTTAATCAATGGAGTAGTGGCAGAATAAGGTCATTAAGAATAAGGCATTAATAAGTGCTTTATAATGACTAATAAAGAGCCAATATGCCTCTAATATCCATGGTAATAAGCAACTAGTTAATGGTTGATATGTGTTCCATAATATAAAGTATTACGAAATTGTGAATTAAATTTTTAAATAATATTTCAAATTGAGGGGGGAAAGCCAGAGAGTTTTTTGGGGGGGACAACTTTACTGTTTATACAATATTATTGTGTGTAAATACCATTATTGAATAAAGAGAATAAAAAAACTGAAATGAAATTAGCAAATGAATGAATTGTGAAATGAATGAATAGAACTAAATAGAGCACATGTGGAGACAGAATAAATGCCTTTTACTTAGATCCACATGTCAGGAGGTTCAACATTAATTATTTGATCTCTGTCGTGATTTTTGCTGAGTGTATTTGATTCAAACATATTTAAAACAAACCTTTTTGCCTTGAGTGCTTCTCTTCTCCATGTTTGTTTCTATGGGCGGTTATTTTCGGCTCCACGGTAACTACAGCCGTCACGTCACATGACCCCCTCTCCTCCAACGAGCCGTCGGGACTCAGGTCACATGACCCCCCCCCTCCGCTCCGGTCTGGATGTCCGCAGCGTCGGTGAGCGTCTCCTCTGTTTTCCTTTGTTTTTAAATGGAATATCCGCTCCGACCTTCCTGCGAGTGAGGACTACACGTGGACGCAGTTTCCCGGGGAGCGACAGTGAAGCCGGACCCGTGAGAACAGGCGAGTGGAGCAGGTTGAACAGGAGAGGGAGATATGTTGTTGTTGTTGTTGTGTTGCATCGTCAGCGACTCTCCGTCTGTTTCCAGAAGTTTATTCACAGACACGACACCACCATTACACTTTCAAGTCAGAAGTAAGATCATTCAGGTGATTGTAAATGATCAACGTGTGTTTTATGTCCTTCGGGTGTTTGCTAACTCCCCGTGTGTTGCTCTTCTGTTGCCTATGTTTTTGCTCTGACTCACCATCGCTTTCACAACTGGAGCAGAAACTTGGGAGTCACATGTTCCTCAGCTCGGGACTCACTGTTTTTTCTGCTGCCACTCGTAGTTTGATGCTCAAGTGTCCAAAGCACGTGTCCCTCTTTCCCTAAGAAGAAACTTAAAGTCTCTGTTTACTTTAAATACGGTGTAATCTATATACACGAGGTTCAATAGAGATCACAGGGATGGTGTCATCTGTAATACACAAAGTAAGAAGGTTCAAATGGGACTTTACAATGTGTCCCATGTTGCGTCACAGCTGTGTCCATTGAGTTGACGTGTTCAGTCCTTATCAGGCCACACCAGTGCTACAGTATTGGAAAAGCATCAGATTTCCAAATGTCACTATTCCTTATTCCAGACTCTGTTTACAAGACCAAAACATTTGGTTTTCATTATCACACAATGGCTTCAATCGCTACTGTTTTCATGTTCATGTGAGACAAACCTCACAAGTTATTTCTTGTTGTTTCTGGACAATGTGTTTGAAATGCTGGCACAGATTTAAATGTCTGTGTGCAGCCTCCTTCTCCTCTGCTCACAGTTCACCTCCTTAACTTTGAGCTTATTTTCTTCAGTTGACCACAAATTAAATCAAGATAAATATTTTCAATTCAATTTTTTAATTTTTTATTGACCAATATCAATAATTATCACAGTAAATTTCACATTATTATTAAGTTTGAAGATAGAGTTTTGCTCCTGAGTGAAGGTTTTAGTTTTAAACTCCGACACAACTCACAAGCAACCTATCAATGTTGAACTTTTGTTACATTGCTATAGATTGAAATGATATTGCAATAACTATTGATATTGTTTCATGAAGCATAAAAATGATCAAACTACTGCAGCAGCAGCACCAGTGTGTTTTGGTCACTGAGGAAAGATTTGAGCAGGAAATGTTTTAAAAAATCTGACACGTTAGAGAACTTGTTTCCTCTATTTGCTCGTCCAAATGTTTCTGTGAGCTTCTGATGCTTTTTTTTTTTCTGATGCCAGTCCAGGAAAGTGTTTGTATCAGCAGCTGCAATAAGTCATGTGTTTTGCATGAAGAGACGGGCACTCTTGTGACTGGCAGCTTAGAGATTAAGCGTTCTACTTTCCATACTTCCTCATGCTTCCATTTCAATCAAACCTCACATCACAAGACCTCAGAATCCAGTGAACAGATAATTCTGTTTTATTTTTAACCTTGTTTACTGTGGAGTCTGACAGAATTATCTTAAAAACGATCTGAGCGTTTCTCAGACACGTCAGCTATGGTATTTACTTTTGGAGTAAACTTTTTTTTTATAGAATAAACAATGCAGAAAAGACATGTTTACATTTACATTGCATAAATCTATGTTGGTCAGTCTGTAGTATTACGTTCATGCAGTCTGTCAGCAGCAGTGTGTCTTTGTGCCAGAGATGATGAACCGTGCAGGTTATTCTCTCTGTTTGGTGTCGAAAACATCTAGAACCTTCTCTTTGTAAAACCACTAAAGGCTAAGCAGAGGTGTTTTTATGTGTGTTTAAAGGGGAGACAATGCTGGTTGAGATTGCCATATGCAGCTAAATCACCCCCAAATTATTCAACTAGCAAATTCATTATATATTTCTTAAAAAATAATATTAATCTCCATCTCTACACGGGTTGGTTAACATCAGTTTGCTGAGTGCCCTTCCTTGATTTTCCTTATCATTGCACTTCTGTTATAGACCAAGCAGAGGAACGAAACACATTGTCTATCCTGTCTTCACGTGTCTTCATGTTTTCATGTTCCTGCAGTGACGACTCAGTGAATGACCTGATACTGAATCTGCACAAGGAAGCTCTGAGCTGCAAGACTGATACGGAAGTCAGATGTCGTTTTGAACATGACGATGAAAATAGACGTCCCTTACAATCAGGTAGGAGGTGTTATTGAGATCTATTGAAACTGTTGAATAATTTCCACGTTTAATTATTTACTTGATAAAAATTTGCCTTACAGATACATTGATGCAAAAGATTTCAGGTCGAGGTTGTAGCCCTTAAGATTCATATCTCTTATAAATTGAATATTTACATTCAAAACTAAAAGAAGTAGAGGGAAACTAATGTAAAGGGTGTGAAAAGGTTAAACTTAGATGGTTGGACCATTCATGGGGTATTTGACTCCAACTGTAATAAGTGAATAAATTAGATTTATACTGTCAATCCGGTTGAGAGGAATTTCCTATATGTATTCAATGGAATCTTGTAAAAAGTTTTTTTTGCCAGTCGGTGATGCCAGTAAGAAACAGAGAGTAACAACAACTGATTTCAAAACTAATCTGAGGAAGTGAAGGAAAATGGACAAATCGGATTGGACAGCTCTTTATAACAGGTATCAGTAGTGATACTTTCAGCACTCTCAACTTCCCGTTAACATTATTGATTTTATTTATTACGTTTAAATGGCAGCGCGGATATTAAATTAGAGGTCAGTTATTTAGTTTGAGAGGAAAATTCTCAAAATATTCTACAGTCATTGTGTTCATTTATTCCTTTGATGCCTGTAGCTGGTGAACGTGGAGGAGAGGAAGCAAGAGAGCAGAAAAACACTGATGGTATGTCACACACACACACACACACACACACACACACACACACACACACACACACACAGAGTGTCAAAACGCAGACATTTTAAGTGTTCACTCTTTCCAGTACTCCAGGGGGATGCTTGCACTGGCCACGATAGCCACAGTGCTGCTGGCTGCCATGGCCATCTATAACCTCCTCACGCC